GTTTCTTGTTTTTTCCTTCTGGACCTCCCTCGGCATTAGGCTCCTCAACCTTACCTCCTGACTTGCGTGAGTGACACAGGTAGAACTGGGTGGGAGTAAGAGTTCCGCCAAGTATCGAGGCCCTAATCCATTTAGGGCTTTAAAAGTAAGCATCAAAACTTTGAAGTCAACGCGGAACCGAATGGGCAGCCAATGCAACGCGGCCAGAATAGGAGAAATGTGATGGTATCTTCTCACTCCACTCAGGAGTCTGGTCCCTGCATTCTGCACCACTTGGAGTTTCCGCGTCAGCCTCAAAGGTAGCCCCACGTAGAGCGCATTACAGTGGTCTAAATCTTGAGATTATGAGCGCGTGGACCAAGGTGGTGAGCACCCCCACATCGAGATAGGGTCGCAGCCGGGCTATCCGCCAGAGATGAAAAAAGGTGGTGCAGACCACCAACGCCACCCGAGTCTCCATAGAAGCGCCGGGTCCAGATGGATCCCCAGACTGCGAACCCCACTCTTTGTGGCAAGGGTCACCCCCCCAAACGAGAGGGAGTCACCCAAGCCGCCAACAGTGGGGGCACCCACCCTCAGGACCTCCGTCTTGTCCGGGTTCAGCCTCAGCCCATTCTTCTGCATCCACTCCAGTACAGTCCCCAGGCAGCGCTTAAAGGACAGGACAGCATCACCTGCAGTTGGTGAAAAGGAGATGTAGAGCTGCGTGTCATCCGCATACTAATGACACAATGCCCCACATCCCCTGATGACCCCACCCAGCGGCCTCATTAAGACATTAAACAGCATTAAACAGGTTAGGTTGTCAACTAGCCAGGCAAGGGGAACAGAAGCATTTCAGCAGGAACTGGCAATTGAAGTTTTCACAGCATGGCGGTAACGCATTACTACCAACCCGCTGCTGTAGATTTAATTGCTGTTAGACATCAGGTTGCAGTGGGTCTTTAATTTAAAAGCTGATGACCCTAGCTGAGATTACGTTTGAACATAACCATCCAGCAATAAACACACTGGCAAATACTGGCTTAATTAATTAATTAGTGTGTAGTTTAATAGTTTGTTAATGTTTAACTTAAAAAGGTAAAGGTTCCCCTTGACACTTTTAGTCCAGTCGTGTCCAACTCTAGGAGGCGATGCTCATCCCATTTTCAAGCCGTAGAGCCAGCGCTTGTCTGAAGACAGTTTCCATTGTCACATGGTCAGCATGACTAGGAAGCGCCTGTTACATACAGCACTGATGTTACCTGTCTGTCATGGGTTTGGAGGGAAAGTTCTGGCAAGGAGCTGGGACAAAATGACAGGAGCTCCCTCCGTCGTGTGGATTCAATCTTATGACTGCTGGTCTTCTGACCCTGCAGCTCACAAAGGCTTCTGCAGTTTAGCCCGCAGCGCCACCATGTGTTTTTAATTCTATTCTTTTAATATTGTGAGCCTCTTTGGGTCCCCGTATCAGAGGAAAGCCAGCCTATAAATAAAACAAACAATACCCATTGCCTAAATGTGGAAGCATGTCAGTGGTTTCTCATTTCAGCAGTCTCTTCTTTGTACAGTACAACCAGCCACACAACTAATCCTGCAACCAGTACAAGAACAGGCGTGCGACAGGGAACCTGCCACAGTAGGAGGGAGGTTGACATTATTTCCCCTCTGCTCTGCATTCAAGCAACTGGACACAAGCCAATGATTTCAACAGATTGTCCTTCTCAACAACATTTTGGCACCTTGGTTTTACATGGCCACAGTGCTAACTGTATTGAGTTTACTAGCACTAATGCACATATAGATGAGGAAGTTTAACAGTTATGCCAATCGTTTCTCTCCTGTATGGATATCTATTCTTTAAACATGTTACATAATAGTTTGCCATAAACTTATAAATAGAATACTCTCTGTTTATACATCTGCCTATGATGAACACATTAAGCTTAACTGTTTTTCAGACAGAAGCATATTTTGTATTACTGTACTACTTTATATTATCTTAGACACTACGACATATAAAGTCATGTGTAATAGAAAATATCAGTGTATGTTACTAGCAGATTACCGGAAATAGGATTTCATCTGTCCTATTGAGCTGCTGGTGCAGGAACTGATCACATCTATATTTGTGGAACAGCTCCAAGAAACCCAAATAGGTCTTAATCCTCAATGCCAGAATGAATTCTGTTACCCAGTGAGAAACAGTCAGCATAATTTTAGAGGAACTTCGGTAGAAGAATAAGGCTGCAATCCTATAGCCACAATTCTGGGAACAAGTATCACTGAACCCAAAAGGTTGTTCTTCATAACAGAATCTTTTGTTCTCCAAAGACCTTTGTTTCATGTTGCAACTGCAAATTTTCAGACTTTGCATTGTGATTTTTTATTTATTTTATATTATGAATGTTTATTTCTTCTAGCCTTCCACATCTATGGCCCTCTAGATGTGGCAGACTATTATTCTTTTTCTTGTTTCATTTTGTTGTATCATTTGGATTACATTTGGACTATGTGGATACAAACAAGTCAACTAGGCTAACAAACTTTAAGCCTGATGTTGTTGATTGTTCAAGACTAATCTACACAACTAAACTGATGTGGCTTCTTTAGATGATCTCTCATTATAACCTAAGCAACTCACGTCTGTTTTATACAATTACTATTCAGAAGGCCACCTCAGAGAGAACTGGTTAGCAAACTTTCATGAACTTTGAAACTCTCTGAAAAGGAAAAAGTACTTCCTTACAAACCAGTTAATGGGATCTGATTTACAAGTTAATGAAAAGCTTCCTTTTCACTAATGGGTACAGCATGCAGTACTGTACTGCAAAAAACAGTCAGGCATCCTTACATGGATATAGCTAGGATATGATCCGAGAAGACTGAATCAACATTTAGGAATCAAAAAGATTGCTCTGAAACTACTTTTAATGAATATATGCTGAAGGATATCCCAGTGTATTTTCTTCAGGACCGCTCTGACAGCTGCAGTGTACTCCAGCTTTCCAGATCTGTGGTTCTCTAGAATCTATTTCAGACTTTTACTTTCACCACTGTTAATGGTTATGAAAGTTGTAGTCCAACACGGTTGGTTTACCAAGGCCAGTTTAGAGTTTTAAACATAAGGAGAGTCCTTCAGCAGTTGTGCCCCTCTCTAGAACATCACTTCCAAACAGAAGATCTACCCGAATCACCCGACATAGCCAGCAGGGACAGCTGAGGGGCCTGACGCTGAGAGAGACCCGAAAGGAAAAAACTAGAAACCAGGCCTTCTCGGCAGTCGCCCCTCGTCTGTGGAACACACTCCCTGCTGAAATCCGGCTGGCACCCTCGCTGAGTGTTTTCAAAAGTCAATTAAAAACTTGGTTATTTAAACAGGCCTACCCCCAGTCAATTAAGTGTTTTTCTTTTTCCTTTTTTTTTCTTTTTTCTTTTGTGTATTAGCATCTTGGAAATCTGCTGCTTAGAACTAATTGTATAATTGCGTTTTATATGTTATCTTAACGTGTTTTAACTGATGTAAACCGCCCTGAGTAGACATTGTGTAGAGGGGCAGGGTAAAAATTGAATAAATAAATAAATAAATTCATGAGTCATCCAAATGAAGACATTATTCTCTAATTTTTAATCTAACTTCCATTTATTGTATTTTGGACTTTACAGATTTAACAAAGATATGTTCTACTGGCTTTTGCTACTGTTTATACTTTTGAGGTTTGTGATAAGTACATTGCTAATTTTTATTGGTAAATACCCTGACTGTTTATATGATCACACAGCAGTTGGGGGTATTTTAAATTTTAGAAAAACTTGTAAACACTTAACTAACAATCAAAAACCAACTCATCTTCTTTCCTCCAAGACACTCTTTGAAAGGGCACAGTACATGCATGATATAGTGAATTCCTATTCACTACAAACAATCCCTGGAACCATTACCCAGGCCCCCAGACAGCCTCCACCCCACCAAAGAGGAGCAGCTTATATGGGAATCAAGATGGAGAGGAACTGAATTGTAGAATGTCATTCAATGTGTCCAGACCTTACCTGGGCAGTGAAGAAAGCTGGAGTGAGAGATCCTGAAGGGAGTGCAGGGCTATTGAGGGCAATTGAGCCAAGGTCTGTGCTGGAAAGAACCATTGGAGGCGCAGAGATCTCTAAACCTTTGGGTTTCTTAGCCTTTGGGGGAAGAGAAGGAGACTTTGCCTTGGATCCTGAAGAGAGATTCAGTGGCTCAAGAGAATCAGAATCCTGGCCATGGGACTCCAAAAAGAGGCTTCGGTGTTCCGAGGAGAGGGGCGAGTTAGGAGACAGAGATGGGGACCGGGAGGAAGATGGTGAAGCTGAAGAGATGCTGGCTGCACTGGGCAACATTAAAGAGGATATTTTTGCAGAGACGGAGGATGCTAAAAAAGCAGAGGCAGCTACTGCCTCTGAAGTTGATGGTAATGACACCGTGGGCCTCATGACTTGCTTGTCTGATTTGTTTGTCACAAATCTGATAACAGTCCGGACTTCTTCCAAAGATGACGCCTCTTCCAGTTTCTCCTCTTGTTTTTCTGTTTTGATCTGCTTGAGAGTTTCTGGCTGGTTTTGTAGCGAGTTGATGGTGAAAGACGAATATAACCCTGAATGGATATATTCATTACGGCTTGCATTTTTCAGGACCGACAAGCTGTGCTTGTGTTGTTCTCTGTTCTCAAGAGGCATCTTGCAGTCGCTGTCCTGCAGCAAAAGGCTCTCCCTGCTGATTTCCACAGAATGAGGATCCATCTTTAAAATCTCAGGAAAGGACACAAACTTGTACACAAACTTCTGCCCAATCACCTTCTTGATGATGTTCTGCATAAAACAACAAACCAGTTGTAGGAGGGAAAATTAATGCTTTGACAAAATAGTGCAGTGCAGAGGCCCCACTTCCAATTCCTTGCATTTCCAGTTTCAAGGACGAGGTGTGAAAGACCTCAGCCTGAAACCCCAGGGAGCTGTTGCCGTTCACAATACCCATTTAGGGCTTTTTGGCTGAACAGTCTCATGTCCTTTTGTTTCTATGAAATGTGCAAAATACCTAACAATGTTAATGCACAGAAAACTCTGGATGTTGTTCTCATCTGCTTCTCTGTTCCTTTTCTGAGCATTCTTCTCACATGTCCCCCTGACCCTCATAACCCTCTCCACAAAAGTGTTTTAAGCCAAGTGGCCCTTCTCGCTGCCCGTCACTGCTCTTCCAATGCCAGCAACAGGTAGAACTGCAAGCGCCTAGACACACTGCCAAGAATGCTGCACATTTTCTACATGTTCATCCTACTCTGTTCCCTCTGCACAGTTGTTTTGGATAACTTCAACGTTATGATCTCATCTATCTTCTTTAAACCAATCATTTAATTACCCATAAAATGCTTTTACAGTTTTATACATGCAATCTCTCTAGCAAATGACAGACAGTTACAGCACTATAACACTATAATAATGTTAGTTTTGTATCATACAAGAACCTATGTAGCAAAATGGATCGTGGGTTGGATTAACGGCAAGGTGAACCAAGTTTTAACTCCTCACCCAGCCACGAAGCTTGCTGGATTACATTGGGCCAATCATTATCTATCAGCCTAACCTGCCTCACATGGGTTGTTCCGAAATAAATAAAAAGGTGGAGACTTTGCGCTCCTTGTAGAAATTGTGGAATTCACATAAACATATAAAACCTTTTTTTAAAAAAAACTTTCCCCACTGTTTTGACAACAGAATTAATGTGTCTGGAAAAGATTTTAAATTAAAAACAAAACAAAATATCTTTATATGATAATAAGGTGTATTGTGCTACACCTGCCCTTTTATTTTTTCACAAGTTATAACTATAAGACTGGTTTACAAAATTAATAGTGTCATAAAATGGTACCCACCACAAGACTTATAATGAATGTGATTCATTTGCTTTCTAAAGACTCACTGTCCATGTAAAAACCTCACCCTTGAAAATAAAAATGAAGAACAGTTCCAAGGCATCTACAACTGCACATATTATACTGAGTTTCTGAAAAAGGGTGACCAATCTGAAAAAAGAAGAACCATTGGAAAAAGTACAAAATACTGAAGTCAACTGCTACTGAAGTCAACTGCTGTGGGGATGTTCCACAGACATGGAAGCATCCCAAATGCTTCTCTGTGGATCAAAAGGAGCTAGAACGACACTCTTGGGATTTGATGTTGAAAAAGTTCTGTCAAATGTTGCAAAGCACAGTTTATATCATTCATCTATTTGGTACAGATTTTATCTAGACCAGTGATTCTCAACCTTGGGTCCCCAGATGTTATTGGACGGCAGCTCTCAGGAATCCTGGCCAGCACAACTAGAGGTGAAGGCTTCTGGGAGTTGTAGTTCAATAACATCTGAGAACCCAACGTTGGGAAACACTGCTCTAGAGGTGTGCAGATTTGTATTATTGGACAACAATTCTCAGATTTCTCCAGTCAGCCTGGAGAATTCTGGGAGTTGCAGTCCATAAACATAAATTAACAGTTTCTATATTATTCTGGATCAAATTAATGAAGTTGGGAAAAGTTGGTATTCAGTTAGATAATTCTGCTGATAAAACAGCTCCCATCCACAGAACTGGGAGGGAATCAAGCACAATTTCCTCTAAAACTCGCATTGGATATTCACTAGTACAATACTGGATGTAGGCCTAATATTTGAAAATACACATTCAAAATAGATAAATCAACTAAGAAAAGGGAGGAATTACAATTTGTGCAAACCTTCCACCTGACAGGGAAATGAGTGTCAAAGGAGAGAATCTGAACAATTACCTCAGGTTCTAGTGTACATTACACATAAGATATTACTGAAATATTATTAAATTTCAAATACACACCTTATCATAGTAGTATCTCAGAGCTCTGCTCAGTTTGTCATAATTCATATTAGTTTTGTTTTTTCTGAGACCCCACAGCTTAGCCACTTCTTCTGCCTTAAGCAGCTTAAATTCACCATCATTGGATGTCCAACAAATAAGGTGCTCATGCTTCTGGTCAAGAAGTAACTGCAACAGGAACTGCCACAACGTGATTGCACTCTCCATTCCTACATGGGGCAAGGGGGGTGGGAGAAGACAAGAGGGAAGAAATATGGGGAACATGGACTCCAGTTAGTTTCAACCAAAACACTCAACATGTTTTTTTTAAAGTAAAGAAACTCTCATAGTATAAGTAAGAGTTCTCACTTTCTCTTAATCAGATAGTTCAAGCATTCGAAGAGTTTATACTTCTAATAACCCTCAAAATCCTGTCACTCATCATATACTGTAAAATGGATTCTTTATAAAATACTACTGGCTTAAAACTACACAGAATGGGGATAACAGAGAAATCAAATATCCCAGGTGCATGAAATAGACTTATTTAGTCACTGCTAACAGGGTAATATTTCCACTTCTGTCTCCACCTTCAATTCAAACAGAGTTTAGCAAAATTACTGTTTTGGACTACAACTCCCAAAAATTCCCCACTAGCAAGGCCAGACTACATGTTAAAAACGAAACAAAATATCTCCACGCTCTAGTTTGCTATGCAATTTCAATTAAATTCTACATATGTCTCTCTTTGCAACTAGACAATGAGCAGTTGCAGTCAGTGGAATCAATTCTATACTGAAAATCAGGAGAAGTTCAGATGCCATAGAACTTTCCATAGCGTGATGTATACATAGCCTCTGGTAACGTTAAAGAACTTTTATAGTTGCTCTTAAGAATGAGTGCAGACTGAGAAAATGTTAGCATGTAAAATAGCTTTCCTAGGAAGGTGCATATTTATTTGCCCCTCACTTTTTGCCACAAAGTAAGTGATGAAGACTGGTTTTCATTTGTGTCTTATGATTTTGTATTTAATTCTTTGTAGTAGTTTATTATGAAGACATAATAATCTTCAGGATAGAAAGCAATCTTCTGGATAGAAAGGAGGGGCAAAATTACTGAAACACAAAAAAATTGTTTCCTTTGTTCTAAAATATTAATATCCGTTGTTAAAGAAAACAGTTTGTGTACAATGCGAGGGAAATAATAATTTAAATTTTTCTTAAATTGCTGATGTCTTAGTAAAGAGCATAAAGCAAAAAGTCATAATAATATTCTGAAGTAAAATGGTTTTGCTACGAAATCTAAATGCTAGTCTGTCTCATCATTGTATATATTGAACGCTAGATGGCAGACAGCTTCTAATTCTGTGGAGAAAGAATTCCCTGGTAACCTTTGGATTCTTACATTCATTGTATAAAATCCAAGATGGAACTCCACACAAGTCACTCTATGCAATTTTATTTGTAGTTCCACAATGCCATAGTGCAGACTTCTAAACAGAATTCTCAGTTTATTTGGGATTTTTAATCCAGAAAAACATGCCTGATGTCAATGCACAATCAAATAATTCTGTCAAATCCATCACTGGATTATTTGAACCATACACATACAAATTCAGGTTTATTAATCTGATTTTTTCCCCAGAAATCTCATGTGGATACATAGGAATTATTCTGTAGAAGGCAACCTTTGGGGAATATACAAGAATTCCACAATAATTAACCACAGCCACCCTGTGCCGTGAGTAGCAATACAGGAATAGAAGCAATCTTCTCAAAACCTCTTTTTTGTATACTACAGTATACTAGCCACCCATGGCATGGATATAATGTGTTTACCATACCTCTCCCTAGAAACAATATCTCAACAACTACCATGAGTAACAGTGTAGCAGTCCCTTAAATACTGCAGCATAAGTGAAACACTTCACCATTTCAACCCCACACAAAAGCACACAGACCCAAACCCAACACTGCGTTAACACCCAAACACTAGTTATAACAGAGATTTATTTTCTTCCTTCTATAGCCGTTTGCTACCCAAAAACCAGCACTGTGAACAGGTCTGGAGGACACACAAGAGAAGGCCATCAGGGAGAGGAGGAGCAAAATGCCAAAATAATATCCTGAGGAAAACACTAAAAAGGGTCTGCTTTTAAAGCAATCTCTTAGTTCCCCTGACAGAAATAGATTTCTCAGCAAACACTGTTTATGGGGTACTAGACACAACAATTTCACTGCATAGATAATTTCCATTTCCTTTAAAAGAGAGAAATTTCAATTTAATTTTTCTAACCCCAAAAGCAAATATACAGAGATATCCTATGATTCCCATATGTGCAACACATTAATAGTATTGGGCAAGGCAAGGCACAGATTCATAGGAGCCATTCCAGACTCATGAGGAAGCCCACACCAGTTTGTGTAAAATGTATACTTAGGCTCAACTATATGTATATTCTGGCACTTGCAAAGGAAGGGTGGCCATTAAATAATGTTTTATGCATATCTTAAGTGTTTCCAGATAAATTCTACACTGAGTTAACATTTTGCTGATGGACCTTTCCAAAGAAAAATAATTTGCCATTTTAAAAAACCCTCAGCATTTTATCATGCATATTGCCCATATGACTTTGGTTAACTTTCTTATGGCATTATATTCCCATGTTAATTTAAACATACATTAAGCAATCATAGATGGAAAGCAATCATAAATGCAGTAGAAATATAGATTTTAAGTATTTTTGAATGTCCACCTTATGGTAAAGGTTAAACAACACAATATGTAAGGACTAATATATATGTATTTAATCTCCTTTTTTTCTAATCTACAGTAGAAGGTTTAACCGGCTGCTAGAACACATTGAACACATGAACATTTGTATGATGAGAGAAACCATTTGGCATGATGCATTTTCTTCTCACAGAATAAACTGGCACACACACAATTTCAAATGACCAGAAATGTCCAGAACAAGACTCCTATCCTATCCACCCTCAATTATTTCATTTGTTTATCCAGAATCCAACATCTTACCTGTTCTTTATTCATTCATATAAATCTACAGATATAATGTTTCATCTTCACAGTAGAACAAGGAAAAGAATACATGTTGACAAAATTATTTCATATGGACTTTTCACGGAATTTCCTAGACAATTTGGTTCTTAATGGTGTCTAGAAGAACTCTTGCTTGCAAATATATTGAGAATTCTTTTTTAAGGTAGCATAAACTTTTCTATAAATGTCCTTTAGTACAGGGAACACATTGTCTGCATTTGGATTAGAACAAAAGACTACAGTTTAACATTGCATGAACAGGCAGAAAGACTGATTTGTTCCTTCTCCTTTGGTTCAGTCATGAAGAAACTAGAAGCTTTCACTTCTATTCTTTTGCTACTTTCAGTTTAGTACTATATCTGAGGCTTAATAAACCGCAGTTAGTGTTAACTATGATTTATTGCAACAAGGCAGCTTAAACTCTGATCTATGAAACTTGTTTCAATAAATCATAGTGAAGACTAATCACAGCTCACGTTTCATAAATAGACCTAAACTGCAGTTAACTAAAAACTGAATGAGAAGCTTCTGAGCTCATGTTAGCCATGGGAAAGGAGAAGAGAGGGGCTGCTTGAATTGGTTTATTGTTGTATCTAAATGTTATCATGTCTCAAGTCAGAAACAACACCATCAAAATATAACTTGGATGTGTCCAAAACGTTTCTATACACCGCTCTATAAGTTATATAGATTGCCTTCAGATGTCATCAACAAACCATGGTTTGACTATTGGCACTATGCTGTCTAGGTTTCTGCACCCTCTCATCTCACGGATACCAACTGCTTCACTTCATAGAAGAGTTTCTTCTATGCAAAGAGAGACTTTGCACTGAGGGTTCCATCCCCATAACTAGTGGATGATGCAATTTTGCCTCAGCTGACATTTTTAGCTAGTCATGACAGCCAACACAAGAAGGTAAATCAACTTTGCTTTATTCGGGTTTCTATCATAATCTTTCATTTCAACACTCCACAGAACTCCCCTCTCTACTCAACAGCCACGTTAAAAGTAGGTCTGGATACTGGTCATGCATAAAATGGGTGGAGCTACTTTCATATGAAGGCAAAATTGGAGACAGAAAGCAACACGGCACACTCGTTCAAGCATGCAGCAAAGGCAGTCCACAAAAGCTTTTCATTCAGTTATGGAGGATAGATTGTACTGGCTGGAACACTGAACCAAGAGTATCACACAGTGAAACAACATGTTGAAGCTCCTATTCATAACTCATATTGCTTTTTCATCTCCAACCAAGGTTTTGTACTTCTTGAACCTAAATACTGTATTTTTAGATTGAAGAACCATACTATATCATAAAGTGAAAACACTTTCTTCCTCTTCAACTTTGAAGCTACAAGTTTGCTTCAACAACATGAGATGATTCACCACTACCTGTACAGCATAAATGTAACCTCTCCAAGCAGCTCTACAGCAGCTTCTGTAGTCATCCTGAGCTGCTGGTAAACAAAAATAGCTCAGTGCTTTTTCACAGTAAATTCTGCCAGCATCACTCTGTTCTATGTAGCTCTGTCTTATTCTTCAACCCTGAAACGTGCGCAGGGTAGCTAATAAGTTCAGATCTCAAAGACTTCAAGTAAGGACATGTCAAAACCACACATTTACTGTACTTCAAAAAGCTGCATAAAATGCAAGATATAGAGATGAGCTTCTTTGAAGACTGCAGAAAAGGAAGCTTGCAAGAGCACTGTGTCATGTTCTGCTCTATAGGAGACATCCATTGAAGCAAAGGCGCACCATCTCCTGAAGCTTTCTTCCAGGACCTTCCTGAGGCTCTTAATGAAAGTGTAACATATTTGAACAAACTCGGGGAGGCAGTGGAAGACAGGAGGGCCTGGCGTGGTCTGGTCCATTGGGTCACGAAAAGTCGGATCCGTTATACTCGCAGGAGATGCTTGGCTGGACTTGGTGGTGGTGGAGTTCTTTTTCTGAGAAGACATCCTAGACCTCCTGTGTGGCAGGACAGGCCCTTCTCCATCTCAACTGTATGAGGGAAAGACACTTTGTGCATGCTTAGTCATGTCTCTGTATGAAGGGTTCTGGGCTTTCCAAAGCAAATACACAATGGGAGGCAAAATATATTTTGCATTCATCCCAGATTTTCTGAAAACGGAAGATTAGGCACAATAAAGCAACTGAGTATTTATGCTA